CAACATGTACTGACTACCTAATGTGTACCAAACATATTGGTGCCTCATGGTTAGGGATGCAAAGATGAATACTAGCTTCCTGCTCTGAATAATTCCCAGTCTGGGGATGGGGTGAGGAGAGAAAGCAAACATGAGAAGTGGTATACTCACGTTATATACAGATGGCTGGGGAAGCACAGAAGAGGGAACAACTGAGTCTGCTTTAGAAGGATCAGGGAAGGCTTCTTGGAAGGGGTGGAAATTTGGGCTAGCAAGAAGAGCAGAGAAAACAGGGCATTTAGACAGAAAAGGCCATGTGTCATGGCACAGGGGCATCAAGGGGGCAGATCATGCTTAGGATAGACAAAGAATCTGTGAAAGGAGAGAGCAGAGGGGAATGGCAGAGAAGAAAAACAATCAACAGCCAGGGGCCAGGGCAGAGTTTGGACTTGATCCTGCAGACAAGGAAGAGAGAACAAAGGATTGTAAATAGGTGAATGATGCTGTCAGATCTGAGTGTTTAACATGTGTCAGTTACTTATTGCTATGTAACAAACCACCCCCAAAATTTATTGGCTTAACCATTTTATTTGCTCATTATCCTGGGGTCAGCAAGTTAGGCTGGTTTTGACAGGGGTCACGCATGCAGCTTGGGTCATTCCACCACTTAATTGAGGTTGGAAGGTCTAATATGGTGTCTAGCGCATGCATCCAGCCGGCTAGCATGGGCCTCTTCACATGGCACTAGAAGAGTTCCAAGGAGACAGCAGAAGCTGCAAGGCCTCTTGAGGTCTAGGCTTAGAATTTGCACAACATTCGTTCCACCAAATTTAACTGGTCAAAGCAAATCATAAGGTCAGCCCAGATTAAGGATTAGGAAACAGACTGTTTCTTGATGACGGAATGGCAAAAGTCACAGTGCATTGGGACAGGATAGGAAGAATTATCACGGTCAGCTACCACACAACAGATAAGGGGTGGCATGAGAGGGTGGAGAGAAGGGAAGGATTTAGGACTGGTTAGAGTCACAGAAATCAGTTTTGAGACTGTCATAGTCCAGTGAGAAATAAGGCTTGACCTAAGAATCAAGAGATATTTAGATACAAGAGATATTTCAAGAAAGAAATTTCAGATTATGTATAATTTTTTGAAAGTTACTTAAGTGGTCTAAGCTTGTTTCCTTATCTATAAAATGGAACTAAAAAGACTATCTCTCAGGGTTTTTGTGAGGATAAGAAAAAATGCTGCACGTAAAACAATGCTCAGCGTGGGCCTGCCTCAGATAAGTGTTCAATATGCAGTGGTACTTCCTGTCACTGCTCTTATTAATTAGGCATCAGGGGCAACTGCAGTTTCTGGCTTGGGCAGCGGGGTAGATGGTGGTGCTGTGTTTGAAGATGAGGAATGCGGCAGGACCAAATGCAGCAAGGCCAAAACTCTTACCAGAGTCTCAAACAATTTGTGACAAACCAGAGATCCAAGCTCTCTCTCTACCGTGACCCATGGCTGCCCCAACACCTGGTCCTCTGCCAAGGATGGGCTGTTGCAGGTCACTAGGAAAGAGGAACTCACGAGCAATACTGAGGCAGCTCTCTAGATGCGGCCCCTCCCACAGCCCACATCAAGCCACCTTTAGCACAATTATACCCTGCGGCCTGGGTTCTCTACTCCCTCCTCTCCTTTTTTGGACATCAGGTGCACAGAATTAGATTAAGCATAATCCTTGTTCACGACACACCTTTCCTTCCTTCCTTCCCTCCCTCCCTCCTTCCCTCTTTCCCTCCTTCCTTCCTTCCTTCCTTTATTTTGTGAGGAAGATCAGCCCTGAGCTAACATCCGTGCTAATCCTCCTCTTTTTGCTGGGGAAGACCGGCTCTGAGCTAACATCGATTGCCAATCCTCCTCCTATTTTTTTTCCCCCCCAAAGCCCCAGTAGATAGTTGTATGTCATAGTTGCACATCCTTCTAGTTGCTGTATGTGGGACGCAGCCTCAGCATGGCCGGAAAAGCGGTGCGTCGGTGCACGCCCGGGATCCGAACCTGGGCCACCAGTAGCGGAGCGCACGCACTTAACCGCTAAGCCACAGGGCCGGCCCCTGACACACTTTTATCATGCACTTTTTTGTGTGTGTGTGTGTGAGGAAGATTGGCCCTGGGCTAACATCCATGCCCATCTTCCTCTACTTTATATGGGACGCCGCCACAGCATAGCTTAACAAGCAGTGCGTCGGTGCACGCCTGGGATCCGAACCTTCAAATCCCAGACTGCCGAAGCGGAGCGCACACACTTAACCGCTCGCGCCACCAGGTTGGCCCCAACACAACACACTTTTATGCATAACTTTTTACTAATTTAGTTGTTTTGATAATGTAATAAGCACCAAATATGAAAGCCAGGACCTTGACAATAACCTAATCTAACTACATGTTCCCTCCAGCCCCATCCTATCCCCCTGCCTATGGGAACCATTATCCTGAATCCCACAGTGAGACCCATTCTTCCTTTTTTACATAGTTTTACTGCATATATATTCTTTAAAAATGTTTTTAAATTCTTAGTTGTATTTAAATTTATAACATCACCAGTCATCAGAAAAATGCAAATTAAAACCACAATGAGACATCAAGACACACCAACCAGAATATAAAGCTTAAAACTTACAATTCCAAGTGTTAGCAAGGATGTGAAGCAAAGCGCTCTATCTTTGGATTGCATCACCATGATTTGTGTGAGGAATCTTGGCTTTGGGAGAGCTCAAATTAGAAGTTCCAGGCAGGGTTTTTATGATATTCTGGCCATGTAATCAACACTCTCATAACCTGTTAGGCCAGTTGTAAACCATCAGTTAAAGAAAGTGACCCTGAGAGTCACTGGGGGATCTTGACTTTAAGTGGTGAATTTAGAAATCCCAATGCCCTTATCTTGGCCAAGAGTGAAAAACCAGACATCCAGATAAAGACAGAGCTTTTGCAATCCAGCTGTAAATCAACTCTATCTTCCACAATATGAAATTCTAGAATAGGCAAAACTATAGTGACAGAAAGCAGATCAGTGATTACCTGGGACCAGGGATGGGGAAAGGGAATTGAGTGCAAAGGAGCACAAGGAAACTTTTTAGGAGATGGAATTTTTTTCTATATTTTGATGGTGATGGTGATAATACCATCATATACAATTATCAAAATACATTAAATAGTACACTTAAAATTGATAAATTATATTGTATGTAAATAATAACAAAAAAGACAAAAGTTGTATTGTTTTTTTTTTTTAAAAAAGGCATCGTGCTACATTTAATATTTTGGGACTAAACTTCATTCATTTAATATTTTATTGCTAAGATTCATTCATATTGTTATATGTCACTGTTGTTCATTTGTTTTGACACCTGTATAATATTCCACTGTGTGAATATTCCAATTTATTTGTCCACGCTCTTGCTCATGGGCATTTGGGTTTGCTTTTGTGACCAAGACTGCTATGAACATTCTTGTACAGGTCTTCCTAGTGTAAACGTACCAGTTTCTCTTGGATTCATCCCTGGTATTGGAATAACTGGGTTGTAGGTTAAGTAAATGTTCAATTACAGGAGATAATCAAACTGTTTTCCAAAGTAGTTCTCTGTTTTTCTTAACTAGGTCTGTCTGTCCCCAATTAGACTGGAACCCCAGGGGCAGGAGACCCTCTCTTGAATTATCACTGCTTAGCACTCAATTAGCACCAGGCTGGATGCTCAGGCACCTGAGACCTCCCAGGCTCAGCAAATACTGAGTGCAGAATAAACAGCAGGCGAAGACTACGTACCACACATGGAGGCTAATTAGGGTCCTACTCCCTGGAGCTCTATCTTCTTAGCTTCACTCTATTTTGAGTTTGGAAGGTCTTCCAGGGCCTTTAGTTACAATGCAAATCCCAAGAAAAGAGAAGGCTTAACCTCATCTAAAAATCCTTCTCAGCTGACACTTCTAATACCCAAACAAAGATTAGCAAGAAAGGCATAAAGAACAAAGGGAGTGACAGAAAGAGAAGAGGAGGGATAAGGAAAGCAGGAAGAACTTTTTTGTGCACAAGAACCAGTTTTTCAGAAAAAAATTTTTTTAATAAAAAAAGCAGTATCTGCAAGTGAGCATAAGCAATTTTTAATATCCCTGCCATTAAAGGATTGCCTTCTTTGTGCTAAAGTCACAAAAACAACATAACTAGCATGCAGTCAGTAAATGACATAATGTTGCCCCAAACACACACTGTATGAGGTGAGCCCTTGTGATGCTGGGGGAAGAGCTCTGAGGGATTTGGGGGTGGGCCAAAGGACTGGCACCAGAGCTCAGTCACACACCAGGAAGGAGAAAAAACAAAACGAAACAAAAAACAGAATATAACAAGACATTAGGAGATTCCTAGCTGCTCAGAGAACAAAAGGAGGAGAGCTGCCATTCCTAAGGATGAGGAGGTCTCGTTATCTCCCACGATCCCAACTGCTACGATTCCAGCAGCTCCCTGGCTACCTGTCAGACAGGAGCTCAAGGTATACTTGCTAGAGGAATGAACAATGGAAGGAACACATAAGGGAGCATCACAGCCCTGGGGCAGAGCAGCTTCCCCAGCCACATTTGGGCAGCAGTGCTGTGGATAGCAGGAGGAACAGCTGCAATTATTCAGCTCAGGAGAGTTCTCTCAATGTAAGTAAGCAGATTATTATGCATTGGCTTAACATTTTTAGCTACTTGCTCCTTAAATTAGATCATGAGCCATATGGAGAAACTAGGTGGCACCCTTCGGCTGCTCAAGACTGACCAAGACTGGGCCGGCCCCATGGCTTAGTGGTTAAGTGTGCGCACTCCGCTGCCGGCGGCCCGGGTTCGGATCCCGGGTGCGCACCGACGCACCGCTCCTCTGGCCATGCTGAGGCCGTGTCCCACATACAGCAACTAGAAGGATGTGCAGCTATGACAGACAACTATCTACTGGGGCTTTGGGGGAAAAATAAATAAATAAAATCTTTAAAAAAAAAAAAAAGACTGACCAAGAAGAACTCGCCTCAAGTGTGAGAGGGGCTCTGTAATCAGAGGCCTGTAACCAGGCTGAGGTCCTGGGCTTTGGGCACCAGGGAGCTAGTGCTCAGTAGCAGCAGCTGGTACAAAGGAAACTAACAGTACTTGGACTGACATGAGGCCCCCAACTTCAGCCCCAGCTCTATAGAGCTTCAACAATTTTATTGGCTAAATGCTTCTTCCCAAGTTTACAGCTTAAAGTGTGGGCCAGCTCACTGGCTCTTCCTTCTAAGCCCCCAATGGAGCACGACACTTTAGCACAGGCTTGGTGATGGGGGATGGGGGTGGGGTGTAATAAGATAGAAACCTGCTGATGCTCCACAATTGGACAGCAGGACAGAAAAACTCCTACTTTCTACTGCTGAAAACTGTCTACAGAAGGACTTGAACTGGATGGAGATAGGACCCAGAGTGCATCTTTGCCACTTGTCTCGGTTTCTGGTGCCTCCATGGGAGTACACCCTGTGTCCTCCTACACCAGAGCTTCAGGAACAGAGTGAGGCTAGGTCAGCCTACACATTTTGCAAAAGTACATAGGCCCAAAATTGGCCATGAGGTTTGGGATTACCAGCTCTCCAACCTGGCAGGATGGGAAGAAAGAGAATGTGTCCATGAAAATCTTTCGGAAGTGAGTCGTGTCTTCCACCTGAACCTCGATGCTGTATTGATTGGCCAGGAGCTCGATGGTGCCTTGTACCACATACTCGTTCTGTAAGTGTGAGAGTGAGCAGGTAGAATAGACAACATGGCCTCCTGGTTTGGTAGCAAGGAGTCCAGCCCTGAAACCAGAAAGAGACAGAAGCAGTGACTAGTGAGCTTCCCAGTGGTAGAAGGGACAACAGGGCCAGCCTGGTGGTGTAGTAGTTCGTGTGCTCCACTTCGGTGGCCCAGGGATCGCAGGTTCGAATCCTGGGCGTGGACCTACGCACCGTTCATCAAGCCATACTGTGGCGGCGTCCCACATACAAAAAGTAGAGGAGGATGTTAGCTCAGGGCCAATCTTCCTCAACAAAAGAAAAAAAAAGAAGAAGAAGAAGGGCAACAGAAGGAGCTGGAAGCACGGATAGGGAAGTCTACTGTGGGATGAGTAGTTGCATTGGACAGCCTCTGAAGTCCCTTCTACAATGACACTTCCTGAAAAGTCATTCTCAAAGCAGAGAGCAACCCAACCTTACTCCTTGGGCTTTCCCCTCCAGGAAGCCTTCTTGAAATGATCCCCTGAGCTCTGACTCTAGTTATGGACCAAACCCTGATGCTGTCTATGGACTGGCTCCTTACCCTAGCCCTACAGAGCCTTGACCTCAGTAACTATTTTTCAAACTCGTGCTACTCTGTGGTACTGGGACTAGCACAGGGGTAGGACAACATAAGTGACTCTGTGCAGCCCACCTGCTATGTATGTCCCACCACATAGGGTTTTTATGTTCCAAAGAAGACCATCCCATGATGTCTGTCTCGTCCAGGCAGATCCCCAGCCCAAAGACCCTTCTAGAGGTGATGGTCTTGGTAAGAGCTTCCAGTCCCCCAGTCCCCCAGGAGACCAGATGCCCAGAGCGCTCTGATCTTAGATCCTGAGGTTTTGTAAATCTGTCACTCACGCGAGAAGCTGCACCTGCAGCATAGGCAACATCTGCCGTTCTTTCTTCCTCGACCGCTGAAAGATGTTGTTCTCCTCCTCATGAAGGGAGTGGCGGTCTGTGGTACAGGGCACGTCCACCAGCACCTGCCCAGAATGTTAAAGGGTAAAATATGAGTGCTCCTTACAGGCTCCTTTTCCTTAGGTCAAGGCTGTTTTAGGCCCCTGGCCTGGGAGGTTTTCTGGAGTACTCCCTCTCCCCATCTTCCCATTGCAGAGTACTTGACAAAGCTTCTCATTTTAACCTGGTAGACAACTGTGGAATAATGAGTGGGAAAATAGTATATTTAGATATACTCATGGCTGGTCAAAAAATCAAAACTGGGGGCCAGCCAGTGGTGTATTAGTTAAGTTCACGCGCTCCACTTCGGCGGCCCAGGGTTTGTGGGTTCAGATCCCAGGCGCGGACCTATGTAGCACTCATTAAGCCATGCTGTGGCAGCGTCCCACGTACAAGATAGAGGGAGACTGGCACAAATGTTAGCTCAGCGACAATCTTCCTCAAGCAACAAGAGGAAGATTGGCAACAGATGTTAGCTCAGGGCCAATCTTCCTCACTTAAAAAACAAACAAACAAAAAAAACAAAAAACCAACACACCAATAACTATAATTAAATAATTGATATCAACCTAGAAAGAAGTCTTTAGCATTTCAAGGCTCTGTTCTTGGCTCTGTCCTTAGCTATTCGAATGAAAATATCCAGTTAACAGATGATACAAGGCTCAGAGGGTAGCTAATATACTGAGTAACAGGATCAGGATTCAAAATTACCTTATGTTGAAATGATGTCATATCCATTATGGAAAAGTTTTCAAGTGAGAAATGTAAAATCATTCATTCATTTAACTAAGAGCCTACTCTGTGCTAGGCACTAGAGACAAAAAAAAAATTAGGGGCCGCTCAGTGGTGCAGCGGTTAAGTGCGTGTGCTCCACTGTGGCGGCCCGGGGTTCGCAGGTTCGGATCCCGGGCGCGCACTGACACACCACTTGTTAAGCCATGCTGTGGTGGCGTCCCATATAAAGTAGAGGAAGATGGGCACAGATGTTAGCCTAGGGCCAGTCTTCCTCAAGAAAAAAGGGGAGGATTGGCATCGGATGTTAGCTCAGGGCTAGTCCTCCTCACAAAAAAAAAAGAAAAAAAAATTTAAAAAGCACCAGTCCTATATTTATGTTTCAAAAAAGTAAAAATCATCGATGGAAAAGATCTATGAATTTTTAGTTAAGCAAAAATTCTGAGTAAATTAATAATGACCCAATGTTCAATATTCTGATGTATTCCTAGGCTGCATGAATTGACACAGTGCACACAGAGTAAGAGAAATAATGATTACCTTGTATTCTGGTCAGGTCATATCTCAAGAACTGTGAGGGAGCTGGCCTTCACAGGAAAAAGAGACATTAACTAAATAGGGATGCCCAGAGAAGGGCCCATGGGCTGTTTAGAAACCAGATCACAGGGCCGGCCCGGTGGCTTAGTGGTTAAGTGCGCGCGCTCCGCTGCTGGCGGCCTGGGTTCAGATCCCGGGCGCGCACTGACGCACCGCTTCTTCGGCCATGCTGAGGCCACGTCCCACATACAGCAACTAGAAGGGTGTGCAGCTATGACATACAACTATCTACTGGGGCTTTGGGGGGGAAATAAATAAATAAATAAAAATCTTTAAAAAAAAAAAAAAAGAAACCAGATCACAGAAGAAATTAATACCTTCTGTTTCCAGCAATGTAGTAAATTAAATATCCTGAAAACTCCTATAATACAAAATACCTAAAAAGGCTGGATAAAATATTTTTTTTAAATACTTTTAAATGCATAGCTCATAGAAATTTAGAGAAATCTTCAGAAGCCAAAGAAAAAAAAGAGCACAAATCCAGGGAGGCATGCTGGAGCTGAAGCCGACGGCTTCTATCGTTTACCAATTCCTAGTAACCTAAAGCCTTGGAGGACAGAAAACAGGGCACTGGGCTCACGTGAGACAGGAAATTGGAATGGAAATCCACAGCAAAGCCAAAGTCATCAAAGGGCTACATGCTCAGAGTGAAGTAGGAAAAAAACCAAAAAACTCAGCCCACAACAGAAGACAATAGGAGAACTTCTCTGTTTTGGCTTTAACTCTGGGCAAAAAGAGAAAAAGAAAGAAATCTCCCTGAGAATTTGTTTTTTTTTTAATAATTTTATTTATTTATTTTTCCCCCAAAACCCCAGTAGATAGTTGTATGTCATAGCTGCACATCCTTCCAGTTGCTGTATGTGGGACGCGGCCTCAGCATGGCCAGAGAAGCAGTGCGTCGGTGCGCGCCTGGGATCCGAACCCAGGCCGCCAGTAGTGGAGCGCGGGCACTTAACCGCTAAGCCACAGGGCTGGCCCTCCCTGAGAATTTGTAACCACTCAAGTAGGAGGTTCAAACTCATGCCTGCATGATCCAGAAAACCCCATATAGAATAATTAATGGTCCTGGGTTGACAGATCCCTCAAACACTTGGCAAAAGCAAATGCAGGTTTCTTTCTGGAGGAAGGCAAACTAACCCTCAAACCAAGGCTCTTATAATTAACTAGGCAATGATCCTAAGCTGACTAAACAAAATCAGATTTTTCCACATCTAGTAAAGGCAGAATAGCTTGTTGCAAACCAACCCTCCTGTTGGAACAACTAGAAATGCTTGACAAAATATTTAAAATATCTATCTGAAATCATCAGCGATCTACTAAGGAAGCAAAAACTTGAGGGCCTAAGATCCTAGAGAGAAAAAGTACAGGGAGGTGGGCCAGAAGCATTCAGCTCTACTCTAACAGCTGAGAGGCTCAGACGTTGAACAGAGCTTTCACAATCTTATGGGGCTGAGGGGACAAAAACGGGAGTTCAGAGTCCACACCAAGGAGCAGAGGGTCCTAGAAAACAAACACCTCATGCCTTGAGTTGGAGCCCTGAAATTTAAAACCCTAGGTGTAGAGGTAAAGTGGAAATAGAACAGTCCTCACAAACTCCAGCTTTGAATCAGCCTAATTTCTAACTGAGTCAAGACGATCTGCTCTGATGTTAACTGTCAGCCTGAAGGAAAATCAAATCCTTTCTAGAGAAAGATGTCACCATCTAGAGCCTCAGATTATCCCTACAACTTTCACACAAAATGTCTGGTATTCAAATAAAAAAAAAAATTACTAACACCAGGAGACAGGGCCGGCCCCATGGCTTAGCGGTTAAGTGCACGCGCTCCGCTGCTGGCGGCCCAGGTTCGGATCCAGGCGCGCACCGACGCACCGCTTCTCAGGCCATGCTGAGGCCGCGTCCCACATACAGCAACTAGAAGGATGTGCA